GCTTTCTGGAACACTGATGTGGGAGGGGCCAGACAAGAATTAGAATTCCGAGGTATGATGACAGATGTATACTTGGGCCAGCAGCACTAACAGTGCTCAGTAGTAAGCAGATAATAGATGTCAGTAATGTATCATTAAAGATCTCCAGGTGAATAAGCCAAATCAAGTCAAACAATGGATCATTAATCAGTCAATGACCCACTTACCAGCTCCACTGTATTTGTAAAAGAAGGCTTCCTTTCACAGAGGGGGGCCCCTTTAAGATGTTGTTGGTTCCAAGCATCTTCCTGCTGCGATCAGATGGTGGATTCTGCAACGCAGCAGCAGACTTCAGTTGGAGAGCAATAAGCTAGTGTGGATTCTGTGCTCTGGATCCCCTAACGGTACAAGCAGTAGGCCTCTCCTGAGGGCCCCACTACTGGTGACTCAGTCTCTAACCAGACTCCTCAGCTCTCTCCTCTAAAACCACAACAGGACCTTCCCTTCTTCACACTGGTGACTATCTCCCAACTGCCTCTGTTCTTTCCCAGGCTTTTCTATTTATATAAAACTTATGCTTCCAGGCACACTGGGCCCCGTAGTTTATTTTGCCTGTAATAGTACCTCTCCTGGCCCAAACTACATCTCCCATCATTCAGTGCCTCATCCTTGAAGTAATCAGAAGCTCTAAGTCCAAAGAAGTTGTGGTGAGAAAACAGAACTGCATTCAGGAAATGTTAACCATAATAATGCACTATAAAACTGAACATTCCAGTAACATTGACTCTGGTTACATATTCCCCCCACTAAATCTCTTTGGACCCCAAACAGGAATAATATTTTCAAACATGAAACACTATGGTGTTGATTTACTAAAGGTAAATATACTGTGCACTGCAAGTACACTGAAAGTGCAGTTGCTTTAGATCCGAGGGGGAGGTGTGAAATGAGGCTCTGCTGATTTCTTTCATCCAATCATGTGCAAGCAAAAATGCTTTTTTTTATTTTCCTTCCATGTTCTCCTCAGATCTAGAGCAACTGCACTTTCAGCGTACTTGCAGTGCACAGTATATTTACCTTTAGTAAATCAACACCATAGTGTTTTTATATTTGAAAATATTATTCCTCTTTGGGGTCCAAAGAGATTTAGTGGGGGGAATATGTAATGCCTATTTGCCTTTAGAAATGGTATAGGGTCACCCTGCTTGCCTGATTTCAGTGATAATACCTAAGAATGAAATCAAAAGCACAAGTTCTGTTCCTGTGCAAAACAAATGATACCCTCTTGATATGATCTAATAGCATAACTTAAGGCAAAATGTTTTTGGACAAAGTGGAAAGGGGTTTGATCCCCTGTCAGATTTTTTTGCTGTCTTTGTCCTTGTTAGGGAGATTTACCCTCTCTATTTGTCCTGTTGACCATTATCATTGTAAAAGAAAAAAAACCAACATTTTGGGTTGTCCTCAGAACAGTAATGAAGTGGAAAAATACCTATGGGAACACTAGTTCTGATGACCTGGAAGGTCCTAAAAGATTCCCTTAATTTGCAGAGATTTCCTCTCACTTTCTGTTTTGGCTATGGGACGGGAAGTGAAGGTAAATCCCCAATGGGACACAGATGGCAAAAATAACTGACTGGAGTAATATCTAACCAAAATGAAAACATGTTGCCAACATTCCCAAAAAATGTTTAGGGAAATTTTTTTGTCATATGTCCAACGAGCCATTGTAGGTGGAGCATGTACTTTAATTAGGGGCAGGGCATTTATTTAAAACAGGCTTGGTCCGGCAAGAAGCATACCACTAACATATTAATTTATTTATTTGTTGCAGTCATATGTAGTGCCTTCTACCCTATACCATTTCTCAGATACTAGAGAACTACAGGTCCCAGTATTGTCACTTATTACCTAGGACAGACAGTTTGGGGAGTTGGTGCACTTTTGTTACTAGTGTGTTGGTAATCTGAGGAACTACAAGTCCCTGGGTGGCGAGACAAACGAAATGGTGAAACTTTCTGTAACGTTGCAGACCTGGGACAATTTTGCCTTCTTTAATGTTGAGTAACTACAACACCCAGCATGCCCATGTAATTATTTTGCACACATATGTTCCCAAATGGAAAAATGAAAAACGTACCAAAACAAAAAATTCATGTAAAGCACTTCAAATACCTTGCAAACTTGTGACCTGTAACCTGAATAAATTCAGTTCACCACTGCAAATCTCACTCCACCACCCCTCTTGTGTTCTTACATTATAGTTAGACCTAATTGATATTAGGCCATAATCACAATCCCTTTTAAGTGGGGGTCTCATATGTTACAGATGTACTCCTTTCTCAGGTACCCGGGTGCTCCTTAATCTTCTTCAGAAAACCTAGAACAATTAAAGAAATAAAAAAAACTTTCCTTGGCCCCAGTTGTTTAGCTGCAGGGGGGACCGCAGCAGAAAGCTGACTATTTTTCAATTTTTCGGGTGCTGAGGAGTAATCTTCATGCAGTGGCTCCAAATAGAAAACGAAACTCCCAGCCTCTTCTACATCTGTCCGCTGAAGTGATGCAGCGGATTTATATTAAAGAGGCCCGGACTTTAGTTTATCTATTGAGGGCCGCTGCATGAAGATTACTCCTCCGATCCCAGAGGAAAAATAGTCCGCTTTCTGCAGCGGTCCCCCTGCAGCTAAACAAATGGAGCCAGGGAAAGTTTTTATTTTTTTTAATTGCTCTAGGTTTGCCGAGTAGTAGGGAATCCTATCTGAAGTTGTCCCCACCCACAACCCTGATCCCAGATTCCCATACAGGCCAGGACTGAGCAATGGCAGGACAGAATCCAAAAAATCGGGATTGTCCCAGGCAATCCATGACAGTTGGCAACTATGGTTTTACTTTAAGCTTGGGTTCACATAAATGCAGTGCGGTATATAGCATGTGATTCGCACAGGAACCGCACCTGTGTAAATCACATGCGATTTGTGTGCGGTGCAATTGGAGCCATATATTTTGTATAGCTCTAATCGCACTGCACCGGCACCAAAAAGGAGCAGGACCCTTTTTTGGGTCCGCACTAGAATTGTATCTCATGGGTTTTCACACCTATGCAATCCGATTCTGCACATCGCACCACGCTTTGCGGACTGCTTTTGGGGTGTTGTTAACTTAACATGCACACCCGCAACGGTTCGCATGAACGGGGTGCGATTCTGATGTGGTGCGGAATTCGCACTGAAAACGCTGCAAGTTCCGCACCGCATCAGTGTGAACCAGGGCTTAGATCCGCTTAGAGAAAAAGAAAGGAAAGAATGGAGAGAAAAGAGAGAGAGAGAGGAAAAAGAGAGAAAAGAGAAAAAGAGAGGAAAGAGAGGAAAGAGAGGAAAGAGAGAAAAGAGAGAAAAGAGAGAGAAAGAAAGGAAAGAAAGAGAGAAAGAGAGGAAAGAAAGAGAAAAGAGAGGAAGAGAGAAAAGAGGAAAAGAGAGAGAGAAAGAGAGAAAAGAGAGAGAAAGAAGAGAGAAAGGAGAGAGAAAGAAAGAGAGAAAAGAGAGAAAAAAGAAAAGAAAGAAAAGAAAAGAAAGAGAGAAAAGAAAGAAAGAAAAAAGAGAAAAGAAAAGGAGAGAAAGAAAGAAAGAGATAGAGAGGGAAAGAAAGAAAGAAAGAAAGAAAGAAAAAGAAAAGAAAGAAAGAAAGAAGAAAAGAAAAAAAAAAGAAAAGAAAGAAAAGAAAGGAAAGGAAAGGAAAGAAAGAAAGAAAGAAAGAAAGAAAGAAAGAAAGAAAAAGAAAGAAAGAAAGTGATTTAAGTAATGTACTGTATATCATATCCTTTGGGGTTTCTAAAGATACATTGTATGATTGTGTGTTTGGAAAGCTGCTGCATTAATGCAGAGTGCTTGAAAGTTGACTTAGGACAGATAAAGTAAAATTCAGTTTGACAAAACTTAACAAAGCTTCTTTTGGTTCTTGCTTTCTTCACACTTTTGGGTTTCTGGTAGTTGAGATGAGCCCTTTTCATACATCATACGAATAATCAATACCTTTATGTGTGTTTAAAATATATTCAGTTTGTCATTTTTTCACTGTCTAGAGCAGAGGCACAACTTCTTCTGATCTTGTGACCTGCAGCCACATGAAATGTGTACAAGTGCAGTGTCTGTGACGGTCGCTGACAAAATGTCAGCGAGAGTTATTGCTGCTCATGTAGTGTGTAGAGATAGGATGTCACAGGTTAGACATGTCCTTACTCTATAGTAATGTTCTGTGTGACACATACATTTAAAGTGACATTCTCTAAGCATCAAGTAAAGTGTATCATTCAAAATCTCAAAAGTGGTAGAGGTTCCCGCAACCGTGACACTGTCACATTATACTACAAGTACTGTATTTCCAAATGCATGTTTTTTATCATATTGGGGTTTTTTTTTTTCAATAATTTTTATTTCAAAGAATATCAAAGCATACAGGCAATCTGTCAGACATAATTCTGACATCACTTCATGTAAAATTCAGTGAACTATTCCGGTACATTAAACAATACTAATGGTGCACCGAAATAAAATTCTGGTGCCAAAACCGACTCCGAAAATTCAGAATGCATGTGGCCAAAAACCAAAACCAAAATGTTTGCGTATGTGGGGGTGGGGAGGCTCATTATTTTTATTTTTTTTAATTTTAACCACTTGCCCTCCTGATTATTTACCCCCCTTCTTGACCAAGCCATTTTTTACATTACGGCACTGCGTTACTTTAATTGACAATTGCGCGGTCATGCAACGCTGCATCTAAATGAAATTTATGTCCTTTTTTTCCACGAATTGGGCTTTTGGTGATATTTGATTGCCTGTGCATTTTATATTTTTCGCGCTATAAAAAAAAAAGACTGACAATTTTGAGAAACAAACAATATTTTTGACTTTTGGCTATTAAACATGTCCAGTAAAAAAATGTAAAAAAAAAATCAAATTTCATCATAAATTTAGACCAAAATGTATTCTGCTACGTCTTCGCTAAAAAAAAAATCCCAATAAGTGTAAATTAATTGGTTTACGTGAAAGTTATAGCGTTTACAAATGGCGGTATAGACACTGGAATTGTTTTTTTTTTCTTTTTACTAGTAATGACAATGATCAGCAACTTATAGCGGGACTGTGGGACTGCGGCGGGCATTCTGACACTGGGGGGAATTGACTTGGTGTCACTGACATCCCCAGTGACACCAATACAGTGATCAGTGCTAAAAAAAACTACCGACACTGTACCAATAGCACTGGGCAGGAAGGGGTTGACATGAGGGGCAATCAAAGGGTTAACTGTGTGCTGAATGTGTTTTACTATGCGGCCATGTGTTTGTGCTTCACTGTAAGCACACTGATTTCCATGGCTGTGCTGTGCACAAGCTGACAGGGAGGAGAACTGTTTGGAAACAGGAATCACCGGCCGGGACCCGGTGATTGACAGCCGCAGCTGCAAATGGCAGTGCGGGTAAGGCGTGCATGCCCCCCTACCCGGAAATGCTAAATCACGTATATATACATGATTTGCACACCCGTGCTGCCCTGTAGCAGTATACCTGCTATAGGCCAGTCAGGAAGTGGTTAATGTGTATTTTTTTAACTTATGATTTTATTGCTATCACATAGGGGACCAATAGATGTGATAGCATCTGAGTGACATGTCCTCTTTTTTTAGAGATGGGGTGGGGGGGAAGTGTGTGCAAGGAGTGGGCAGGAGAGGAACAGTGTATATAGTGAGGGAGCAGTGTATACACTCCCTCACTGGCTGCCCCTATATTTCACTGCGGGGTTTAAATTCAATTACCATTTTTTTTCCCTTCACTATAGCTCCAAGAATGAGCTGTCATTTTCCTCTCTGCTAAAGGAAACTAAGGGGAGGGGTCACTGGGCAATGTCACTGAGTGACCCCGCCCCTTAGTTTCCCTTAGCTCACTTTTGGAGTTATAGTGAAGAAAAAAAAAGCCGGCAATTACATTTAAAAATTATGCTGTTTTTTAAATCTAATTACCAGCTTTTTTCCCCTCCACTATCTCTCCAAGAATGAGCTGGCATTCTCCCCACTGCTAAAGGAAAGGGGCGGGGTCACCCAGTAACATTACCCAGTGACCCTGCCCCTTAGTTTCCTTTAGCGGTGGGGAGACTGACAGCTCATTCTTCGAGAGATAGTGAAGGGAAAAAAAAAGCCGTTAATTACATTTATGTATAAAATGTCAGAAGGCACTCAGAAAAATGGTTATATATAAGTAAGCTGCTAGCACTAAAGGGCCACCCTTTGTGTCCTCAATAATAATAAATGCAGAAAAGGTGCAGCTCTTGCGGTATGAGTTAAGTATAAATGTATATAATAAACATATATCTGAGTGATGAATAGGCTGCAATACCTAATATGATCACAGTGGGGCGCTCTGATCAGCGCTATGGTGGCATATATATATATATATATATCATAATGTGTATGTGTGTGTGTGTATATATATACACACACACACATTATGATTTATATATATATATATATACACATACACACACATACATACATACATACATACATACACATACATACACACAAAAAAGTCGCACGATGGCGCTATAATGCAATAAATATAGTGAATAAAGTGTGACATTGAAAAGTCAGTGCTATGGTGATTATAAATTAGTGACTGTAGTGGAATGAGTAGACAGAAAACAGTAAATTATAAAAGTTCAGTAATAATTGAATCCATGAGTAATTGGTGACTTCCAGTGATAGGTAGATCCATGAGAATGATACCTTTATATGCACTCACCAGAAGAGCATATACAATGCTCATATACAGCAAAAAGGCACTCTCCTCCACAGGCAGGTCAGTTGTCCTGTTCTGGTAACAACTGCAGAAGTATAGGTTTCTCATAATTTTCTGTCATAGCTACAATGGTCAACAAGACTAAAAGGGGGTTACACTTCTCCAGCTGGTTGCAACAAGGGTCCCACCAAAAAGGTTTACCCCTTTTGATATACCCTAAGCATTAACTAAGTCTGAGGATTAGGAGTAAAAATTTGGCTAAGGTTTAGAATTTGAGGCTAGAATTAAGGGATAAATGCACATCCAGAGGTCTTGGTGTCAATGCAGCACACCACAACCTATGGCAGTGTGTTACCATGTGTTATGGTGGGCTGTAATGCATGCACAATGGAGCTGTGTTTTAGCTTTAAGGCGTTAGGGTACCATTCAAAATAAAAGGCACCGCACCACAATGCATTAATGCACTTAACATGCATTTCAGTAATGCGTTTGCACGCTACCTACCAAAAGCAAAATAGACTGTTTTCAGCCTTAGCATTGGGATTAGAGATATTTTACTTAACATGATAATGTGTACCTTGAGCATCAGTAGTAAATTCATTGTACCAGTGGCCAGGGGTGGACTGACCATTTGGAAACTCAGGCACAGCCGAAGGGCCTGGGGGGTCAGTAGGGGGCCCCATGAGATGCCCATGGTACCTTTTTCATAGGCTTTTTTGAGTTTGGGCAAGGACACAGGGGCCCCATGATCACCTATTGCCCGGGGCGCCATGATTTGTCAGTCCGCCCCTGCCAGTGATGTAATGTGGGTTGCCAGCAACCAGGGCAAGGCAAGTATGGCATCCTTTTCAGGGCAAAATACCAGTGCAGGGATTTTGTGTCAGACCGTGGCGAGTTTATTGGTGTAATACACAGGCTGTTGACAGGTATGTACAGTGCTTCAGATGAAAAATCAAAACAAAGCCTAGGCTTGTCTCAGCTCTCCACTTTCTACACTCAAGGCAATCCTAGCTATCAAGCAGTTCAAGCTTACTGCTTGTCAGCCTCCATAAACAAAGTTTGTGTTCAATAACCTTTTCTTTAGCTCTAATACACGACCTGTCTGTTCCCCAGGGCTGTAGAGCACTGACTCTGAGTTTCAGGTAATCTTAAATGGTCTGCAAGGAACAGGTAAAAACAGGAGTGGACAGATTATCAAAAATTGTGGGACAGGTATCCAGAAGATGTATAAATCCCGAACAGGACTTTTCCAAGCTCCTTTCGAGACACTCTGCTACTTTATATATAAGTACCTGAAATAAAAATATATATACAGTATATGCTTATATACACACTCACAGGCCTCTTTTATTAGGTATACCTGTTCAATTGCTTGGTAACACAAATTGCTAATCAGCTAATCACATGCAGCAACTCGGTGCATTTAGGCATCTAGATTTGGTGAAGACAATTTGCTGAAGTTCACCCTGAGCATTAGAATGGGGAAGTAAGGGGATTTAAGTGACTTTGAACGTGGCATGGTTGTTTGTGCTAGATGAGCTGGTCTGAGTATTTAAAAAATTGCTGGACTACTGGGATTTTCACAGACAGCCATCTCTAGGGTTTATAGAGAATGGCCCGAAAAATAAAAAATATCCAGTGAGCAGCAGTTGTGTGGACAAAAATGCCTTGTTGACGTCAGAGGTCAGAGGAGAATGGGCATGCTGGTCCAAGATGATAGAAAGGCAACAGTAACTCAAATAACCACTCATTACAACCAAGGTATGCAGAATACCATCTCTGAATGCACAGCACGTGGAACCTTGAAGCAGATGAGCTACAGCAGCAGAAGACCACACCGGGTGCCATTCCTGTCAGCTAAGAACATGAAGCGGAGCCTAAAATTTGCACAGGTTCACCAAAATTGGACAATAGAAGACTGGAAAAACATTTCTTGGTATGAGGAGTCTCAATTTCAGCTGCGACATTCAGGTGGTAGGGTCAGAATTTAGGTAAACAACATGAAAGCATGAATCCATCCTGCCTTGTATCAACAGTTCAGGCTGGTGGTGGTGGTGTACTGGTGTGGGGGATATTTTCTTGGCACACTTTGAGCTCCTTAGTACAAATTGAGCAGCATTTAAACACCTACCTGAGTGCTGATGCTGACCATGTCCATCCCTTTATGACAACAGTGTACCCATCTTCTGATGGCTACTTCCAGCAGGATAATGCACCATGTCACAAAGCTCAAATCATCTCAAACTGGTTTCTTGAATGACAATGAGTTCACAGTACTCCAATGGCCTCCACAGTCATCAGATCACAATCCAATAGAGAACCTTTGGGATGTGGTGGAAAGGGAGACTCGCATCATGGATCTCCAGCCGACAAATCTGCAGCAACTGTATGATGTCATCATGTCAATATGGACCAAAATCTCTGAGGAACCTTGTTGAATCTATGCCAAAAAGAATTTAGGCTACATTCACACTAGCTTTGTCAGCAAATGTCAGACAGGCGTTTGAAAAGCATTAAAAATGCTTCCGAAATGCCTATGAAAATTCTGCACATGGCAGCCCACAGCGCTGTTCACACTGAAGCGTTAGCGTTGCGTCGCGGCAAAACTGGCGCCTCATGTCAACTCAGGAGGAGTTGAAGCCTCCCATTCAAGTCTATAGTGCTGCTCCTCAAACGCCTGGCAGATGTTTGCGGTGCAGTTGTGCGGCGTTTGCGAGGCAGTTTGCAGAGAGTTAATACCATTTAACTTCATTATAGGCATTTGTGGTGCAGTTTTAACGCTTGGCAAACGCCTATCAAATGCCTCAAAACTGCACATAGGGCATTTGGGGAGCGTTTGAGGAGCGTTAAAAATGCTTCCCAAAAGCCTGTCTAACACCTGTCAAACGCTATAGGGGCATTTGGCAAGAGTTAAAAATAAAGTAAAGTGTGAACGAGCCCTAAGGCACTTCTGAAGGCAAAAGGAGGTCCAACTTACTAGCAAGGTGTACCTAATAAAGTGAAAATGTCCAAATTGGGTCCAAAGTGTCAATATTTTGTGTGACCACCATTATTTTCCAGCACTGCCTTAACCCTCTTGGGCATGGAGTTCACCAGAGCTTCACAGGTTAATAAACGTGATTCTTGTGAGCTACTATGGTATATACTAAAAGTAAAAATTAAACAAAGTCAAATATATAAAAAATTAACAGGTTAATGAAATATCACCATGTGTTTGGTAAAAAAATTAAAAAAAAATGCAATGAAATATAGATCAAATGGGCTGGTGTGTGAAATATTGAATAAATGAGTGGGAGGGGTTCTGACGTCACGACGCTAAAAGACAGCTACACAGCAAGTATATGGGAGTGTGGCAAACATATTAAGGATCCTGTGATTCTGTACAAAAAGCGATTTAATTCATATTTCATGTGAGTGCACTACAGTAGTTTAATAAGTATTTAAAAAAAAAAGATAAGGCACTATATTCTATTTTTAATTACTTTGTATACATACACATGGAGAAAAAAGTCTGAAGAGAGTGAAGAGACCCCCTAGTGGGAAGAGGGATAACTCCATCCATTCATCCGCCTCCAGGAAAATGGAGTTTAGGAAGTGGCGAGACCCCCTGCTGGGGAAAAGGGAAAAACTTCATTCATCCATCCATCTGGAAAACAGGGATATATCCATCTGTTTATCTTTGAGTCCAATTAAAAGGGACACAAGCTTTTATGACCTCACTTAACGGTTTGCTCATATACATCAGGTGAGAGCACAACTGGTGAAGGAGAACATTATTTAAGATTGGTGGACTATACGTTATATTTACCTTGTATTACACTTCAAAATTACGGATTATTTAATCATGCATGCAGCACCAGCGTGATTGTAACATCACGCTGCTGAATTCATGTTGGACTTATTCACTCATTTTATTTTATATATATATTCCCTCTTAATGAATGTATATATATATATTGATAGTGGAGCGCGACACCTTGCTTTTTGATTTATTTATAGAGCGTCACAGGTTGCCACTGGGGTCCTCTTCCACTCCTTCATGATAACATCACGGAGGTGTTAGAGTCCTTGCGCTCCTCCAACTTCCATTTGAGGATGCGCAATAGGGTTTAGGTCTGGAGAGATGCTTGGCCAGTCCATCACCTTTACCCTCAGCTTTTTTAGTAAGGCAGTGGTCATCTTGGAGGTGTGTTTGGGGTCGTTATTATGTTGGAATACTGCCCTGTGGCCCAGTCTCTGAAGAGAGGGGATCATGCTCTGCTTCAGTATGTGACAATACATGTTGGCATTCATGTTTCCCTCAATGAACAGTGCCGGCAGCACTCATGCAACCCCAGACCATGATACTCCCAACACCATGCTTGACTGTAGGCAAGACACACTTGTCTTTGTACTCCTCACCTGGTTGCTGCCACACACATTTGACACCATCTGAACCAAATAAGTTTATCTTGGTCTCATCAGACCACAGGACAAGTTCCAGTAATCCATGTCCTTAGTCTGCTTGTCTTCAGCAAACTGTTTGTGGACTTTCTTGTGCATCATCTTTAGAAGAGGCTTCCTTCTGGGAGGACAGTCATGCAAACCAATTTGATGCAGTGTGTGGCATATGGTCTGAGCACTGACAGGCTGAGCCCCAACCCCTTCAACCTCTGCAGCAATGCCTGCAGCACTCACACGTCTATTTCCTAAAGACAACCTCTGGATAGGACGCTGAGCACGCCCACTCAACGTCTTTGGTCAACATGGCGAGGCCTGTTCTGAGTGGAACCTGTCCTGTTAAACTGCTGTATGGTCTTAGCCACCGTGCTGCAGCTCAGTTTCAGGGTCTTGGCAATCTACTTATAGCCTAGGCCATCTTTATGTAAAACAATTCTTTTTTTCAGATCCTCAGAGAGTTCTTTGCCATGAGGTGCATGTTGAACTTCCAGTGACCAGTATGAGAGAGTGAGAGTGATAACACACCTGCTCCCATTCACACCTGAGACCTTGTAACACTAACATGACACTGAGGAGGGAAAATGGCTAATTGGGCCCAATTTGTAATCCTAATTAAAAAGAATTCAACTACAGGTGTGTCTAATTAAACAGGTGTCCAACAGACAGTTGATTATAAAAGGGCGTTACTTAAAAAAAGAAAACCCTTTGCCATTTCATGCTGTCATCAATGGTACCACATAGTTACATAGTTAGTGTGGCTCAAAAAAAGTCCATCTAGTTCAACCATAAAAAAAACTAAAGTTATAATCCTATACCCACAGTTGATCCAGAGGAAGGCAAAAAAAACCCCAGCAAAGCATGACCCAATTTGCTCCTGCAGGGGTAAAAATTCCTTCTTGATCCCCTGAGAGGCAATCGGATATTCCTTGGATCAACTTTACCTATAAATGCTAGTATCCAGTTATATTCTGTGCATCTAAGAAAGAATCCTGGCCTTTTTTTAAAGCAATCTACTGAGCTGGCCAGAACCAACTCTTGGAAGAGATGGAAGAATCATTTCACAAGACTGAGAGAGAAAATAATTTTGTTACACAAGAAAGGTAAAGGCTACAAGAAGATCAGCAAAGCTTTACTTATCAGTCAGGATACTGTAGCAAAAGTGATACAAAAATGTAACAAAGATTGAACTGCAACCATCTCACAGAGACGTCCAGGCCGTCCACGGAAAGGAACACCTCAAGAGAAGCGTCTTCTGATGAGAAGGGTTGAAGAAAATCACCATGCAAATTCACTTCAGCTAGATAAAGGAGTAGAAAGCTAAACTGGGTTGATTGTTTTGCGTTGTTATGATTTTGATACATATATTACCAAAGAAATACCAGTCCATAAGACAGTTATGAAACACAAGCAATTTCTTAAGAAACAAAGTGTCTTTTCTTTACAATAGACCATGTAAAACAAAAGACATTCAAAATTGTTGACCGACCAGAAGCACTTAAGAAGAAAATGTTAACCAAAACGCTATGTTGACTGAATATAAATGACCTATTTAACTCTTAGGAGCACAAAGAAGTCACACAGCACTGAACCGAAATGACTTGACCCGTGTTGACCAAAAGTCATAAATGTTCATTGTGAAGACAAAGCATCTACGTACCTGGATCATGAGATGAAATCACAAGTAAAGACAATAAGAGACCTTGAGAATGGCTCTTCCCAAACAACCTTATTAACTAAGTAAAGCTTCCAATAAATTTTATAATAGTTAAACAGGACAAGGATATGAGCCTGTCGGGAACGTTAACACCCATTATCAACAGAGTCAAATATCTGCTGGAAGATCAACTGAATGTTTACCAATGAGCTACATAAACAATGGCCCCAGCTACTCTTACACTCCTCAGCTGTTTACATAGACTACAAACTATACAATTCAATTTACGAGAACTAAGGTTCTAAACTCAGCAAAATACTTAGCTGTTAGAGGGTTAAGCAGATATATAATTTTCATTCATGGAACATGACTGCCTCTAGTGGACAGGTAAAGAACATCTAGGATAAATGGCATTCTTGGCTATCCAATCATCATATAATACGGGTGGACCCAGCAGACAATGGATATCCACAGTATTTATACAGGAGGAGAGAAAGGGAACTAAACTTGGCCGATATACAAAAACTTGACTTGATTCTTTGAACTTTTTGCCTGTGACGAGACACACCTTTTTGCTTGAAAAGAAACATTTTTACCAACCTGCTGTTCCACCCAGAGATCTCCAAGAATGCTGTACCTGGGAGTGGTGAGATATTGTGGCCAAGTATCAAAACTTTCATTAATTGCAAAAATTATTACTAGAACTTTACTAATATTTGTATTGTGCTGTAGTGCTGGTATCGTGCATAGTGATATATAGAATGCTAATTAATTTGAAATTGTATTGATCTGGTTAAACCACCGAGATTGGATGGTGTATAGGGAGATTGGTTGCTCAGTTACCGTATTGGGTTGTATTGATTTTAGAATAGTTTTTTTTTTCTCTAAATTGGTATGCTGTAAATGTATTGCTCTTAGGACATATTTGAACTGTTTCAATGTGTATTATATCAGAAATATTTTCCTAATTCTCTTCGGCCGAGGGAATTGGAAATTATATACTGAATGCTGACATATAATATTTTGTAAATCACTGAGAAAATCAAGGTTTTGTTATTTGACTCTGCTATAATATATATTTTGTGATTGACCTAATTGCAATTTATTGTGGGTTATTCTTTGATTGTGTGTAGGAAATACTCATCACCAGTAAATTATTTTGTATTAAAATATATATAAATATTTTTGTATATAAATAAATTACTTATCTATTAATCAAATTGGAGATATTTGTATATTTGGTAAGAAATCACATTGGTAAAAGAATTCAGGAAAAATTACATTGTGGTGGTATATTGTATTAACCCCCCTGGAGGTATTCCCGAGTGTAGCTTGGGGTAAAGTTTCAGTACCACAAGCGGTAACTACACTCAGGAATACTATGCGGCGCTGCTCCACAATCCCTCGATCACTTACCTTGTCCTGCGCTCCCGCGATGTCCTTCCTGCAGTGTCCCCGGCAATGTAATCCGGCGGATGCCGGCATCTGTCTTCTGGCTTCCATCTCCTGTGAGCGTCAGGACGTACGGGGACGGAACGTCGGGAAATTCAAAAATGACAAAAAGTGACATTCACTAAAATCACATCGTAAAACATTACTGTATCAAACCATTTCACATATATTTTGTCCCTAGTGCTTTGTCCTGTCCCCTGCCTGCATTTTTACTGTTCTTTCTGCCTGGAAACTGAGAAACGTCCATGGCATCCAAAAAGTGTCCCTTTAGGTCAAAAGTGGTTTTAGACCAGCTTGAGAACAGCGATAGTAAATTAGAACCACTTGCAGAATTGAGTGATAATGATTCGTGGGGGAAATTCGTCATCAGACACTGAAAACGATTTTGCGACTTTGCTCAGTGATGTGCGAACTTGGCGCTATATTTCAAATTTCAGTGTTTATGGTTTGATTATATTATTGAATTAAATTTATTATATTATTATTCTTATGATTATTTATTAAATTATAATTTATGATTTTGTGTTTCAAATTTTAGCATACCCGGGATGTTTACTAGACTCTTGTTCGGACAGATTTCAGTGAATTATTCCTAAAAATTACAGGCCTACAATAGAAAAAATACATATTTCCATGCAAAAAAAGGTACCACTTTCAGCACCAAAAATCAGAAATAATCATACTGCCAGGGAGGTTAAGGTGTCTATATTATTTCATGTTATTAAGTTATTTGCCATAACGGCTGGAGTCATAATTATATACGGACACCGCCCAATTTATTTATAATTAATGATTCCAAAAGTACCACGGCATGACACAATATGGTGTACACTGCAGAAGAATGGCGTGCATGGATGTTGTCCACGAAAGAAGCCTCTCCTAAAGCCCATGCACAAAAAAGCCTGCCTAGCATTTGCCAGGGCCCATGCTGAAAAAGAAGACTACTGGGACTCTAAAAAAAACTTTAAAACTGCATGGTGTCACAAAGGTGAGGAGTACAAAGAAAATTCATGGTGCCTACAATGAAACATGGTGGTAGCAGTGTCCTTCTGTGGGGCTCTATGAGTGCTGCTGGTGTAGGGGAGCTGCATTTCATTGATACTATCATGAATTCACAGATGTAATGCTCTATATTGAAAAAGAAGATGCTACCATCACTTCGTGCCCTTGGTTGTCGTGCACTTTTCTAGCATGACAATGATCCAAAATACACATCTAAGGCCACTGTTGCATTTCTGAAGAACAGGGTGAAAGTGATTCAGTGACCAAGTATGTCTCCTTATCTGAATCCAAATTGAACACCTATGAGGAATTCTGAAGAGACAAGTTGAGCATCACTCTCCATCCAGCATACAGGCTCTAAAAGAGGTCGTTTTTGAAGAATGGAAAAAGATAGATGTTGCAATATGTTGCCAACTTGTTCAATCCATGTCTAGAAGACGTGGTGCTGTCCTTACAAATCATGTAGGTCACACAAAATACTAGATGTAGTAGTTTTTGCTGTGGGGTGCATTCATTTTTGCTTCAACGAATTTGAGTAAAACTGAAGATGTTGTTATCTACGTTATATTATTAACCTTACTGTCATGTAATGAGCTAAACAAATGTTCTATAAAAAACTTAGTTTTGTAAAAATTTTGGAATCATGTGTACATTGAGATATTGATTAAAATCTTAATTTTCAAAAGGGGTATACTTATTTATGCTGAGCACTGTGTGTGTGTGTATATATATATATATATATATATATATATATATATATATTACACACACACACGATATTGCCAAAAGTATGAGGACGCCTGCCTTTGCACGCACTTTACATGAACTTAATGGCATCCCCTGTCTTAGAACACAGGGTTCAATATTGAGTTGGCCCACCCTTTGCAGATGTAACAGCTTCAACTCTTCTGGGAAGGATGTCCACAAGGTTTAGGAATGTGTCTACGGGAATGTTTGACCATTCTTCTAAAAGCGCATTTGTGAGGTCAGGCATGTTGGACGAGAAGGCCTTGCTCGCAGTCGCCTAATTTATCCCAAAGGTGTTCTATCGGGTTGAGGTCAGATCTCTGTGCAGGCCAGTCAAGTTCCTCCACTCCAAACTCACTCATCCATGTCTTTATGGATTTTGCTTTGTGCAGTCATGTTGGAACAGGAAGGGGCCATCTCCAAACTGTTCCCACAAAGTCGGGAGCATGCAATTGGCTAAAATGTCTTGGTATGCTGACAACTTAAGAGTTCCCTTCACTGGAACTGAGGGGCCAAGCCCAACCCCTGAAAAACACCACTACACCATAATCCCTCCTCCACCAAACTTTGTGCTTGGCAGAATGCAGTCAGGCAAGTACTGTTTTCTTGGCAATCGCCAAACACAGACACATCCATCGGATTGCCAGACAGAGAAGCATGATTCATCACTCCAAAGAACACGTCTCCACTGCTCTAGGGTCCATGGGCGCCGTGCTTTACACCACTGCATCCAATGCTTTGCATAGCACTTGGTGATGTAAGGCTTGGATGCAGCTGCATGGCCATGGAAACCCATTCCATGAAGCTCTCTATGCACTGTTGTTGTGCTAATCTGAAGGCCATGCCAAGTATGGAGGTGTTTAGCTTTTGACTCTGCAGACAATTGATGAGTACTGCTAATTTTGTGCTTCAGCATTCACTGACCCCGCTCTGTCATTTTTCGTGGCCTACCACTCCGTCGCTGAGTTGATGTTGTTCCTAGTTGTTACATAGTCTGGCTGAAAAAAAAGACAAAAGTCCATCTAGTTCAACCATAAAAAAAAAAAAACACAAGATATAATCTTATACCCACAGCTGATCCAGATGAAGGCAAAAAAACCCAGCAAAGTATAATCCAATTTTCTCCTGGAAGGGAAAAAAATCCTTCCTGATCCCCCCGAGAAGAACTCTGATATTCCCTGGTACAACTTTACCTATAAATGCTAGTGTCACAATCATGCACACAGGGAGAGGTGCAGTTCTCCATTTTGCTTCAAACTTCTGCATTGTGATATTTTTCTTAAACTAATAAGCAGGCACCTGAGGGGGAGGGGGAGGTGTAGCAGGCATGGACCCCAGAGCCAGGCATTCTCACTGTGTGAAGAAGTCTTAATGTTATCCCCTCATTTCCCCTCCCTCAGTAATGCAAGCAGCATATGATGCTGAGTCCTGCCTAACAATTCTTTGCCAAATAAGGCTTGGCTTGTCCATTGTGGGCAGAGCTTTTGAGTAGAAAAAAAAAAGTGTTGCATTGTGTGTTGAGTGAGAAAAGTGAAGACTGTTGGCTCTGTACCATCTAGCTGACCAAGAGTCTTGTTGGACCATCGTAACTAAGTGCAAGACCAGAAATCCCATCTAGCTCATCAGACTTGAAACTGCTTAACCCCAGGCATTTATTTGGCAAGTACTTATTTACCTAAAAGTTCTTTCTGTTATCTGTTTGCTGTGCTGTTGTGCTTTGTATATTTTTATATATATATATATATATGTTACATCTTCTTTCTGTAAATATTCGTACTGCACCCTTTTAACCTTTTGGTAATAAATCTTACTTTCTGAAAGTGTTGAATTGTTTCTATAGCTCTGAATTGCAATTTACGAATCCCTGCTTCTAAAAAGAACGCTACTATGAGTGTTTAACCCTCTGTATAACCGGTCTGTAGAGATAGCGGTATACTGTCGATTAACCAATCATCCTAGTGTATTGCTGAGTTTCCTCTTTCTCTGTATAAAAAGGAGGTGGTGGCAGTGTGAAGGGTTAATTGCGTAATTAACCTGACCCAGTAACAAGTGCATTCAGGCTGCCGGTACGTCGATCGTTGTCCAATTAACTGGAACATCGGTGTGCAGGGTGAAGCTGGGTGTGGCACTGTTACGCACGTGACAGCGCAGTTTTAGATTGGCTAGTCCTTCGGTCCCGAGTTTGGTGAGAAGGGCTGGGCTCTGACGCCGCGCCCGTCACATATTGGTGGCAGCGATCCTGGGATCGTCATAGTTAGTATCCAGTTATATTATGTGTATCTAGGAAAGAATCCAGCCCTTTTTTAAAGCAATCTACTGAGCTGGCCAGAACCAACTCTTGAGGGAGTCTATTCCACATTTTCACAGCTCTTACTGTGAAGAAACCTTTGGAGATTAAATCTCTTTTCCTCCAGACGTAAAGAGTGTCCCCTTGTCCTCTGTGATGCCCTCAGGGTGAATGACTTTACACCGAGTTCACTATATGAACCAATGATGGATTTATCCATTTTGATAAATACATCACACAGACTAACTATGTAACTCTGCGAAAGGTGGTCTGTGGTTACCAGAGTCCCCCTTAAATAAGTGTCCTCAGAGTTCCCCTTCACATCAGAGTCTGCAGGATTCCCCCACACAGTGCAAGGGAGAACTCTGTGGATCCTGATGTAAAGGCCAACGCTGCAGTCCCTGGCGTAAGTGGGAACTCTGATGTAAGGGGTTGTGAGGGGTTCTGGTGAGGTTAAGCCAAGCAGGCCATTTATTTCTCTTGAAAGACCTGGAAGGGCTCTTACATGCAGTATATGCCACAGAAGAGATCCCTGAGACCCCCAAGAAGCCTCAGTGCAGGACAAAATGTACAGAGGTCTTGTCAAGGCCCGCTCTAGGGTGCTCCCCTTTTACCAATCCTTAAAGGACCTAATTCTATAAGAAAGAAAGGAGCCTGAAAGGTGACTAGTCAGACCAAAGACATGGAAAAGAAGGTTCCCCTTTAAGGGGGACGAGGAGGAAAAATTCTTCAAGCTTCCTAAATTAAATGCTGCTTTGTCTCAAGTTACTAAAAGGTCTGACCTCTCCTTTGAGGTTTCAGGGAGCATAAAAGATCTGATGGATCGTAGGTCAGAGTCCCTCCTACAGAAAGCATGGGATGTTAATACCTCTGTTATGGGCCCAGCTTTGGTGGCAGCATGTGTTGCCCAGAATGCTGTTTAAGGGGGCCAAGTCTGAAGAGGTACTAGATTCCGTTTCTATCATTGGGAAGGCTGTTTCATACCTTGCAAATGCTGTGGTGGAGTCCATTAAGGACTCCGCTAAAACAGCTGTGCTGATGAACTCAGGAGAGCTAGGAGAGCTATTTGGGTAAAAGCGTGGGAAGGGGATGTCCCATCAAAAGGTAAACTGTGTAGCCTCCCCCTTGAAGACACTTGGCTATTCAGGCCAGGGCATGACAATGTGTCATCTAAATCCTCTGAAAAAGGAAACAAATTCCCCGTTAAGCCCATGAGGGAGAGAGATACAGGAGGTATTTTTGTGGCCCCCTCAGGACCAACAGAGAGCCAACAATGCCAGGGATCTTACTCCCATGTATTTGTTCGCAAACCCTCAGGAAAAAACTGCCTAATTATAAGTCTCAGTAATCTGAACAAGTTCCTACAAGAGTACAAGAGGTTTTCCATGGAGAGTATATACTCCGTGCGAAAGAGTCTGCTGAAAGAGGCCTTTATGACAACACTGGACCTCTAGGATGCCTATTTAGACGTTCCAATCCACTCGAAACATCAGGCATACTTGATTTTTGCGTTAATAATGGGAAGAAATAGTCCACTGGCAGTTTAGAGCCCTTCCTTTTGGGCTAGTAGCCAGTGAAAGGATCTTTACAAAAGTCCTAGTCGATAGCCCTGATTCCCTATTGAGATGATCTTCTAATATTTGGTCTCTTTGCTGTCCATATGAAGGCAGATACGGGGACGGTGATCACCACCCTGGAATCTTTGGGCCGAATAGTGTAGAAAAATCGTTGTTGGAGCCAGAGAGGTCAAAACCTTTTTAGGTTTTATGTGGTGGATTCAAGACTTCAAAAACTCTTCCCACCAAGGGACAAGGTAGAGAAGATATTCCTG